ACGATATACTTTTAAACACAAATTGATCAGACCTAAAATTTTGGAGAAATTGGAAAAATTCACTTTTTCCGAATTTTTTTGACAGCGATGACTCACGAACGAATCAACCGATTATTACCGGCCCAGCGGCGATCGACATGGTTTTTTATGTTAAGAGCTGATTAGTTTTTAGAATCGATTAGTGAAGCCGTTTAGAAATTATTCCAAAAAAGCGAGATTTAAAAAAATTTTTTTTTGTAGTTTTTTCGAGATTTCTCAAAAACTACCGGCCCGAATTGGTCCAAAGTGTATCAAAAAACTAAGTCTGGTCAATCCCTTTCTAATGGCCCTAATCGCGATCAAATCGTTCAAACCGTTCAAAAGTTATAAGAGGCTTACACACACACAACACACACACACACACACACACACACACACACACACACACACACACACACACACACACACACACACACACACACACACACACACACACACACACCGCACGGATACCATCGTATAAATCGTCAGGGAAGCTTTCTAGGAGCCCAAAACAGCGAGATCTGATAAAAATTCGATTTTTGAAAAAACGGGGTAAAACCAATCACTTCCGGGTTTTCAAAAATTTTCAATTTTATTAGCGGGAAGTTAAAAAAATCAAATTATTTTCAGTACCATGTTAATTACAACTTAGTTACAAGAAATTAATTTTATTTCGAATTCAATATTAACCCTTTAACGTTCTGGAGTCTCGAGAAATTTTGGTGTGAGCCCGGAGGGAGCAAAACCAATCATAATGCGTTATACGGCTGTGTGAGTAGCGGCTTGATTGTATAATGTGTCCGTGCGCCTCCTTCTACTATTTTTCAAGCCCCTTCTCTACAAAACAGACTATAGCTCTCTCACTTAAAGAAGAAGACGGACGATTGAATTTGGGAGTAGGGATTCAAGGTCGACCGTTAAAGGGTTCAAGCTTGTTAAAATTTTTCTGGGGATATTTTTTCATGCGAATTAAGCGCTATCTCTCGTTCCGAAGCGTGAATCATTAAAAAAGAACCAGTCAAAGATTGTATAATCGGTGGTCAGCCAGCAAAACAATTGAGTGTAGTATTAGAATGTCTTCAACTTGTATTTAGAAATAAATTTTTATACATGGTTGCTCAAATGGCAGAAAATTTCTTCAACTACCAGCTGAAAAAATTAATTTTAATTTAACAAAACAGTATTAAGCTGTAATTTTCACAAGTTGTCATAGGGCAGATAAGGAAATTGAATGAAAAAATTGCTTTTTTTTTAAATTATCATGATTAGCCCTTTATAAAGACTTAAAAAATCATCTTCATAACCTGTTGCAACCACTATTTTTATGTGAAAATAGCAATTGATAGAAAAAAATTAGGAAAACGGTTGATAAATACAATCGTTGGTTTTGCACACACGTACCTTCAAGCCTTGAACTAGGGCTTGGCCAAGTTTCCCACCTCCCAAGGTGACTAGCCGTTGACCCTGGGCCTGACTTCTACCCCGGGAGTGAGCGGATAGCCTCCTTCTCACCCTCACCTACACGGCTTAGGATTGCCTACTGGACTCTGGCAGAAGTTTAGAATCCAGGAAAATTTTGTCTTTAAAAAGTGCAAAAAGTATTTATCGACATTCTAGCCGATTCGGGATAAGTGCTCTCCGTAATTGTCAAGGGAAGAGTTTTCACCGGACAACTTCACTACTGGAAGACTTACCTTTCCGAGTCACTACTTTTATTTATTTGGTATTTATGAACCCCCTAGGCCTGATTGAGGTTGAGAAGTTTCTCACCACTCGCCATCTATCGCCGCTTCTACGAACTCAGAAAAACTCATTTTTTTCCGTCAATCTTTTAAATAGAAAATAATTATTTTGACGATAATTATTTTCCTAACTAAATTTCGTCGGGGCATAGAAAAAAGAATATTCGCATAAATAATTATTTTCTATACTAAATTTCGCCGGGACTTCGAAAGAAATACTCGCATAAATAATTATTTTGCCGATAATTATTTTCCGTTTTGGTTACAAAAATATTGGCAAGATAATAATTAATAATGTTAATTATCAACATAGTTAGTAATAATAAACAAAGTAATAATTAATAGTAAACACAATAACCCTAATCTTAACTAACAATAGTAATCGTAGTAATAAACAATTAAATATTGATAGGATAATCATAATAATAACAGTCACAATAGCCATAATAGAGTCCAAAAAAACAATGAAATAAATCGTTATAAATAAACAAATTCCGGCAATTCCGGCTGGCGAAGTATCAGGCGAACAGAACTTCAGAAGAGTAGGTAGCCACTAATTTTCCCTCTCTGCCCTGTTCTACGGGCCCCACTTAATGCTGTCCCTTCTCCATACGCTAGTCCCTTCTCTTTCTCTCTCTCTCACAGCTTAGTAATAGCAAAGTAATAGTTTTGTGAAAGGACCAATAATTTGATCATTACCAGGTATGAAGATATAATTAGACTAGATATTCGTAGACGATATGTTTAGTCGCAACCCTAATACACAATGCTGCAAAGTATTATTAATAATGAACTATAAAATGTAAGGATTTAATATTAAAATTCAAGTTCGAAACTAAAGAATAAAGATAATAGTATCCGATATCGAAATATAGATTTCTAAATTTTTCGAAATATAGTAAAAATCAAAATTCAGTTGAAGATGTCGGGATTCTAAAAATGATACACAGAAAAAAAAATATTATTAAAATGACAATCCAACGTATCCTGAAATAACATTTCGTCAAAGTAAATCGTCAATCCGGTTGTCTGATTCAAGAATTAATTTACTTAACTCAAGCATACAGAGAATAGCTCTTGTAAATATATTTATTTTCGTCAAAACAGGCAACTATTTTGTCACTATGAGGATCTGGTATGGGTAAGTCAACTAGATGTCACGCTTAAAATAATAAAACGGATCGTCATTTTAATGATCCGCTGTATTGGCTGGGTGCACGCACATATACTAGTCAAAAAAAGTTTGAAAAATCCAAAAGTGTACGCCTCATAATCTCATTTTTTACTATAAAATTGATTAATAGTACATTAAGATACGAGTTGCTTAAATGAGCGATTATGACACGTCGTGAATGGTCGCTCATTTAAGCAACTCGTATCTTACACTATTTTGTACTCTCTAAACATGAATTAGTGAAAATTTCACTAATTGCGGAAGTGAAGCTGTATTCACTTAACAATCAATGTTTTTAACTTCAAATAAGTGATATTTCGCAAGTTATTTTAGTGATTTAATTTTCATTAAATATTTAGTTAATTTACTGATTAAAATAGTGAAATTTTTACCAATCGTTTCAGTGAAGCCATGATTCACAAGTAAATTAGTGAAATTTTCGCTGACTGTTGAAGTAAAGCTGTTATTCAATTCGTAATTAGTGTTTCTAACAATTAATTAGTGAAATTTTACTTATTACTCAAGTGGCTCAAATCGTAAGTAAATAATTTTTTTTTTTTTAACTATAATTACGTGATGATAATTTTAATTATAGTCTACCGAATAATTTTTTAATAATAATTTAAATGTTTTAATATTTTTTCATTTTATAAGGTTATTATGATTTAAATATAATCCTGTGAACTTGAAAAAAAAGTTTACAATGAATTGTAATCTCTTCATTGGTTAGTTATACCGTAATACTATAGTAAATTCTTCCACCTTCGACTTGAAATTTTTATAAAAGAAGTGTAAACAGGTAAGTAAATACAATTTGATACTCTAACAAAATAACAATCATACTACTATTATTATAAAAATACTCTGTCAATAAATTGATGCTCATTGCTGTCAATCTCTGACTAGGCAATACCTAACCTAATTATTAAAAACAATAATAGATTAATTTTTCTTTTGATATTAAAGTTGTTTTTTTCGATTCTGCAGCTATAAAATTATCAAATATTATTTCAAGAACTAAGAGTTTATAATTAGCAATAAATCAATAAAATGCAGTAAACAATTTGTTTACCTTAAATTTAAAAATTAAAATTTCCACGAATTCAATTATTAGCTTTGTATCCGGTTCACTTCGGAATAAGTGAAGTCAAGATAGACCATTGCGCAGTCGGACAGAGCAAATGTAGAAAAGCTACGACGATGTATTGTATACAGAGCGTTAAAATTTCTCGAAGTTTTTATGTGCTTAGAAAATAATAAACATAAAAGACCCCAAGTTTAAATAATAGCACTGATTAACAGATTTAAGGCATTCTGCTACTAAAAAATATTGCAGATTTGAGTAAGAAATAATTTTATATCTTTACTTGATCGCGTAAGTATTATTTAAGTTAAAATTTTATCAGAGGTTAGTTTTTATTCATAAGAGTTAGCATTTTATTTTTCAAAGTTCATATTGTTGTAAATTTTTTTAATAATTTACAGCGTATGGCTGTTTATTAATTTAAGATTGATAAAATGTGATTAAATTTTCATATTATTTTAAGTTTAAAAATTATATTTATCACGAATTCAATTATTAGTTTTCTATCCGGTTCACTTCTGAATAAGTGAAGACGAGACAACAGAACAGTTGCGCAGTCACGTGAATCGTATAAGTGACGCTATAGTCTTTCGTACTTTATCTTCTAGATTTTTTATAATTATAATTTTCAGAAGTTATAAAATATATGAGTGTCAATAATTTTATGAAATTAGATCTGGATCAATTAGAAAAAGTGAAAATTTTCAATTGTGCACAATTTTATTGTTATCATTCGATACGTATTTAAAAGATTATTTTTCTTTGTTACTTTTACATTCATATTTTTGAAATTAATGCCAACCCATAAAATTTGCAATATCGTTCTTCAACTACTGTCCCGGAGAGACATACTTATTCTCTTTTTATGAGTTGTTCATATACGATCATTAGAAGCAAATAATTGAATAATTATAAAAAATTTTCATCTTTTCATCTTATTATTTTCTTATATAATATTTTTCTTCTTCTGCAGAAAAACATGGAAGAGTATAAGGATTTGACCGTTGAGGGATTGATTAATAAACTAAAAGGTACCATACATGATGATGAAACTCTTGAGAAATTAAGACGTAAGTAATTTTTTCTGTCACTGTAATCAATCATTTGTTCACAATGGATCGATTAAATTGTTTCATTTGTCATCAAAAAATCAACTGTGAGTTATGGGGATTGAAAAGACATTTTATCGATGCTCATGGGTTAACTGTGAGTCGTGGGGTCGGTGATCAAGGATTTAAATGTGCTCAGAACGGGTGTTCACGCAGATTTTTAACATTTGCATCACTCAAACGCCATATAAAAAAAAAACATTTGCTGATTGAATTTAATGATAGAGAACATGGCGAAAATCTTGAACACGATAATAACTACGGCAACGACAATAATTATGACAATAATAATGAAGATAATAATAATAATAATGAAAACAATAATAATAATGAAGATAATAATAATAATGAAGACAATAATAATAATGGATATGATAATAACAATAACAATAACAATAATAATAATAATAATAATAATTTCGGGTTTGATATACGTCGTCATATTGTGCGAATGATTGGTCGTTTTCAATGCAAAGCTTCAATGACTACATCAACTTTAACAGATATTATAGATGAGTGTGAAGAGTTACTGGTTAATACGTGTGGTCTTTTAAAGGATACAGTAAACAATTTTCTTATTGAACAAGGTTTAATTAACAACGATGCCGCAAAGGATGTTTTAAAAACATTTGATTTAACTAATGTTTTTGATGGACTACGGAGATTTGATGATCAAATTGCAGCATTAGAGTCGTCTTGTGCGTATATTAGGCCAGTTGAAATTCCGCTTGGACACAGAATGGACAAAAAACTTAATAGAACGTCTGGTACGTATGAACCCACACTGGTAATGGAAACTTTTCAATATGTACCCATTATTGACTCTCTTAAATTAGTAATTTCTAATCCTAATGTTCTACAAGCTATTTTAAATGAACAAAAGTCACCAGACGGCATTCTAAGCTCTTTTCTTGATGGGCAGCATGCTGAAACTCACGACTTTCTTCGACGATATCCGCATGCTCTACGAATTCAACTGTATTATGACGAATTGGAAATAGTTAATCCTTTAGGATCTAAAACTGGAATCCATAAATTAGGAGCCTTCTATTATAGCATTCAAAATATACCTCCAGAAATTAACTCTGACCTGAATTCTATTCATGTACTTCTTTTATGCACAGACATAGATGTGAAAAACTACGGATTTAATAAAATTTTACAGCCCTTTTTGAATGATCTGAGTGCACTAGAAAGTGACGAAGGAATATTAGTTCATACAGAACATGGTCCTTTTACTTTACGTGCAACTCTTGCTGCTTTCATTGGCGATGGACTTGCTGTGCATGACGTATTTAATCTATTAGGACCATCGTCTAATCAATTCTGTCGTTTGTGTATGTATTCGAGATGATTTACATGCTGGATCTCTTCAACTTGGTCAGAAACGCACGCTAAATTTATATCAAGAACATTTAGATTTGTTGAAGAACTCGAATTTTTCTGCAGAGAATGTATCAAGTACAGGCATGCGTGGTAATTGTTGTTTGAACGAGTCAGGATACTTTCATGTTACTAGTAACAAAATATTTGACCCAATGCACGACTTCCTCTGTGGTATTTGTCCAATGATTATAAAATTAGTCCTCAAACAATATATATTAGTGGAAAAGAAGTTTAATACTAATTATCTAAATGGTAATATTACATCTTTTCAATGGGGATACTGTGAAAACACTAAATACTCCGATTGAATTTCAAGTCTAGATCTCAAAATACAATTCTATAAAATGCCCAGCGGAGCGGGCGGGTAGTCATATATAATTATATATGATTATATATAACCTAACATACAATTCCATATATAATCATGTATGATTATATATAATTTTATATACTTATATATATTTGTATATGGAACTATATATAATCCTGCATGGTTGTATATCGCTCCATATATAGTCATATATAATTATATATGATTATATATAACCTCATACACAATTTCATATATAATCATGTATGATTATATGTAATTATATATGATTATATGTAATTATATATGATTATATATAATTCTATATAATTATATATGTGATTCCATATATAATCATATATGATCATATACAATTATATATGATTATATAGAAACATTTTTTCTCGGGTAATAAGCCTTCAGCTAACTTCACAGACTCCATGCTTAGAAGAAAAGATCATTTAATAAGTCAAAAAGCAATGCAAACTTGGTGCTTAATTCGGGCCTTGCCATTTTTACTGTCAGATAAAATTCCAAGTGATGATCAGTATATGATGCTGATAAAAAATCTATTACAAATAATGGAAATAATATTTGCTCCAAAACTTTTTCGTTCTCAAATCCCTTATCTTGATGCTCTTATCAAGCAGATTCGAAAAAATTTTAAAAGTTTATTTCCCGATGTTAATGAGATTAACAAATTTCATCATTTATCTCATTATCCAGAGTGTATTTTGTGGTCTGGCCCAGCGATCAACTATTGGTGTATGCGTGAAGAAGCTAAGCATGGTGCTGCAAAAGCTAGAGCTCAAGTTGTTCGTAATTTTAAGAACCCCCCTAAGACTTTAGTAAATATTTTCCAATGCGGGCAAAGTGCAAAATGGGGTGGAAAAGATGTTCAGCTATTCCGCTTACAAGCATTTTCTCGAAAAGAAGAATTTGTCGAGAACACTTTGAGCCGACAATTCTTGCTGGAATTAAATTATACATTAAATAACAAAGTACTTTTGGCAAGATCAGTGAAAGTAAACGGTGTCGAATTTTGTCTTGGACTATACGTTTGTCTCGAAGTTCCAATAGTTCGTTCAGACACTTTGCCGTTGTTTGGAAAAATAAAAGAAATTATTATTCTAAATGGAACTGAAGTTCATTTTTTAATATCGACATGCATAACGGTAGAATTTAATGTAAATTTACATGCATATCATCTTGAATGTAACGAAGAATCTGACAATCGTTTTACTAATGTATCCCGTTTAGGATACTTTAAACCTTTCTGTTGTTGGAACCCATCAAAATCCAACAATCTTTATATAAGTTTACGTCTTATTTTATTGTAACTAATTTCTCTTTAATAATCAGTCAAAGAAGGCATAAAGAGAAGAAGAGAAAAACTGAAGAATAACAAACGATTTAATTAATTAATAATTATTATAAATAATCACTTGTGTGTATTTATACGATTTGTAATTGTTTTTATTGAATTTTAGAGAAGTGTATTGACGGTACTGTTTTTTTGGAGTTAAAAAAAGAAGATTTAGAGCTAATGGGCATTAAAATGGGCCCAAAAATACTTTTATTGAAAGTGTTGGGAAATCTCAGGGCTACTGACAGTGTAATTGAAAAAGAAAACAACAGAGAATTTACATCATCTTCAAATATAATTACTCCATCAAGTGGAAATTATCCATCAGCTGCTGGTAGAAGTATTGAAAGAGCATCAACATCATTTGACGTTGGTGCCACTCCAAAATTTTCGGTACAAATTTATCTTTTTAATGTAATTTATCTGCAGTATCTGTCAAACCGAACATTTAATTCTTTTTGGTATATTTTAGAAATATGGCACGGTAACAGCGACATTAGAAGCAAAGACTGGTTTGGAGGCCTCCAAATATTGAAAGCGTTAAGATCATCTAAAATTTTTGAAGATGTTAACAGGAAGGCGCTCGTAAGAATTGTTACATCTGAACTAGTCGACTATCATCAAAGCCAGTAAGTAATATATAATTTGTATTAATCAAATCTAATATCAATATTATAAATAAAGTTAACTATTGTATTTACATTATATTTTAGTTATCCACCGCAATCGGCTAAATTAGCTTTGGCAAAAGCATTAATCACTGAATTTCCGCGACTAAAAAATGAATATTCAAAAGATGGTTGGGTAAGGATAACAATTTCACTAGTGGATGATTTATTAATTAAAGAAGCAATAATTTCAATTTGTAATGTTGATTTTTAGGAGCATTTTTACGATCAAAATTCTAAAAATGGTTTCATAGAATATCGTTTGAGTACGATGAGAACCAAGTTGAGTCCATCAAAAAAAAATACATAAAAGCAGCTCTAAAAAAGTCTGAAGTACTTTCCTCTTCTTCACAGTCTGCTGACTACCAATTTACTAGTGAAGAAATAGATAAAAAGGTTCGGTGTTAGCTTATTGGTTTTTTAATTTTTTTCCAAATATGTCAAATAATACAATTACTCATTTTATGTTACTTTAGATTTCTTTATTAAAATTCATTAAGCCTTCTGATGAAAATAAAGGAAAAATTATTACTTATATGCAAGAGACAAGAGAATTCAGATGGCATTGGATTCAATCTGCAAGTCCAACTATTTCAGAAGTTTTTACAACTTACCCGCGTCTCTTGGATTACGATGGAGAAATAGTAAGATTTTGTTTTCTTTAATATAGGTTGAATTTTTAATCTCCTGCTGGAAAATTGAGAGTAGTTAATTTCTTTCATTTAATTTTATTATAATTTATATAGATTGAACGCGATTTCGATAATAAATATCCAAACGTAGCAGATAACTTTTTGGAAAAGTTTGCCACATATTACGTTCCGCGCATTAACTTCTTTGTTAAAAATTGTAAGCCAGTCTTATACACAGAAGCAGCCGATATTACTGATGGTGAGCAAATATTTTCTTTTCTAATTAATAATATTAATTACTCGTTAAATTCATTCATTTATATCTTTAAATTTTAAATTATTTTTTTTAATTTGTTAAGCTATTCATATATTTAAATTGTTAATGTTGCTCGTGTTAGTGTTGTCATAAAAAAATGTCAATTGATTTTAATACTGCAATTTATTTTTTGCAGAAAATTTGAGAGCCTTAATCATGTTGAGTGCATTACTACCGGTATCAAATTCTGTGATCACAAAAAGAGGTAAAGGTGTAGGTAAAGGAAAGAAAAGAGTAAGTTTTGAATTGCAACTATCGAATATTGTTATAATTCTTCTTATTTATAGTTCTTGAAAGTAATAAATAACCATAAATCAATTAATTTTTTTTTCTTAGAAACTCAATGAAAGCGATGATAGCCCTTTACCCGTCAAAACTACATTTCTCAATAAAGATCTCATAAAAACTCTTCCGGTAATTATTCTGATTTTTTTTTTTTTTTTTTATAACAATACCATCTTACCAATTTGAAATTAAATATTAACAAACAAAATAATATGTAATATTATGTACATTTATTTTATTCACAGGACGGAACTAATATAAGTAACTACATCAAAAAGTTAAAAAAAAACATTGAATATGAACCCGAATTATTATTTTTATTTTTTTTTTTTAAAGTACATTTAAAGACAAAAATTTAAAAAAAAAACATCCCAAAGAGTCAATTTTCAAAAAAGTTATGGTTATTTAACAAAAAAAAAGCTGTTTTTTTTGTAATAACTCGTAACTTTTTTTTGGTTGGGTAAAAAAATTTGAAAAAATTCTGAAAATTGTTTTCAATAGGGTAGAGAAAGATACCAAAATTTCAGAAAAATCGAAAAGGGTCAGTGTCAAAAGTGGTCGATTTGGCATGGTAGTTCGGCCCTTTAAGCCAAAATTCAAGAGATCTTCCAAACTTCGTATATAAGTAGTTAAATACATAATGCACACGCTGTTAAAATTTAAGGATGATTGACCACGTCTAACTAAAGATATTTGCAATTAAAAATGATGTTTTTAACATACGCAGCATGGGAGAAGCGTGGGAAAATGACCAACTTTATAGTTTTTCTCCTTGACCGAATTTCACCGTTTTAACAAAAAACTAATATATTGGAGAAAAATACATTTCGAACTTAAAAAAAAAAAAATTAGAATTATTGACCACGTTGTTTAAATAAAAATTTAAAATAAATAACTCATTTGAAGGATTATTTTTAGTGGAGGGGATCGGAGAGAAAGTTGCGAGTAAGTGGAGCGGCAACGTTGCAACGGGTAAAATGGCGGAGGTTCAAAAGAAGCGCGAAAATACAAAACAGCTAAACACATATAATGAAATAACGCGAATAATATTAATGAATAAATCATTGTATATGTTTCATTAATATTAATTTACAACGATAAAGTAAATATAGAAATAAATGACTAAGTGATAAGTTAATTTACTTTATTAATATTTTTTTAATTATTTATTTTATTAAAAATAATTAATTTAATGACATATATTTTTTATCAGTTTAACAACAATATGAGTATTCTTAGAAATTAATATCACAGTTTTTCTTTGAAAAACTTAACTAACTTATCAATTACCCTTTTATCTTTGGAAATCCGTGCTTTTTTATCATTGCCAGGATTTTTCAGGTATTCTTTGAACTTTTCAGTTTCTTCTTTTTGGTATTTGTTCAATAAATCACTATATTTAATGCCTTCAGAGGCGATTTTTTTCAAAATGTGATCAGACACGACACCTTTCAAGGGAGATAAATCTTGCATTGTACTGGCTATCATTTTCGAAGCTGTTAGATGATTCAAACATGTCCTGTACGATTTGGAGTTTTCGTATAAACGATCCTTATTTGTTAATGCTAATAATTGCTCCAAGATATCAACATCATACATAGCTTCATGAAATTGATCTTGTGATGTGACATTTAAATGTTCAGCAGCTAGTGTTGAAAGCTTAAATTCGCCTGAAACTTTTTTAACACCAAAGCATTTTTTAAACAAAGGCAATGAATCTGAGAATCCAGCAATTTTACTAAATTTCTGTACCATTGAGCATTTCAAAATTGCTTGGAGCAAATGTGATTTATCGAAACTCACATTATGTGCTACAAGTACGCATGATTTTGATGACAGGTTTAAAAACTGCAAAAAGCTTTCAAGAGCATCTTTTATCGGGACAGACAACACTTTTTTACCACGAAAATATAAATCTCCTTTGATATTTTTTAACCCTGTATGAACAGAAGCTTTTTCATCAATGCGTTTAGTAGGGTTTATGTAAATACTGAATTTACGACCTTCACACGATGCCGCAATTTGTAGTATTTCATCATTTTTACAAAAACCAGAAGTTTCCAAATCAAAATATACCAAACTACAAGTTTCCGAAGTAATTTTTATTTGTGTGCTTTCCAATTGTGAGTCATCAAAGTCATGGGAAGTGCCAGCAGATTCTGAAAAACCAAAGTTTGATTGGTATTGTACACCTTCGACCTTCTCATTTATTTTCTTCAGTTTTTCACGCGCCTGAGCTGAAGAAATTCTTCGTTTTTTTGCTTCTGGTAGTTTGGCGTCGTCAGATCGTTTCGTCCGCTTGAGATCAGCTTGTTGAGCGTATAAATCGGTGTTTAGTCCAGGTGAAAGCCCTAAATTTTTACGTATTTCTAAGATTGATGACTCTCCATCATTTTTAGTACATACTGAACTAGCAAGACGAAAGCTAGATGATTCACTTAGACTATAACAAATATTTTTGGGAGATTTGTGAGCCATGATGTTATTAAAAGACTCATTGGCTTGGCTAGATGCAGCTATTGAGAATTTTTGAGCATTTGCAGCGTATTTTTTGAATAGATCAGATAAGGCATTATATAACGAATCATTTTTAAGGATAATTGTTTGTTTATTGGATCCATTTTTTCGATTGCACCAAGACCCACAATTTTCATGGCTATTAAACAAGTGATCTGGAATATTGCGTAAAGTATTCGCTAAATTTTTTGCGTTACCAGCATTTTGAGCAATTGCGTACGAAAAACATTTTTTAATATGAATCATGGTTTCTTTTCGTTTAAGTTCTTTGTAATCAAGACTATACAACTCTTTACTGAAATTTTTCTTCAAATGGTTACTATCAGCAAACTTGAAAATAGTATTAACAGTTCCTCGACGTACAGCCGCAATTGTTGAACTGTCCTCATCACCAATAACCACTCGGACAGCAAGATTAGATTCTTTAAGAATCTTGCTATCATTTATTAAAGCTGCTCCAGCATCTGCTTCCATAGCTTTCGCACTTCCCTCAAAATTTTTTCTACAATCATGTTCTTCTTTGCTTTTGTCCTTATCACAAAATTTGCACTTTCTTATACGATCTGCATAATCTAAAATTTTTCCGCTTAAAAATCCAATAATAGTTCCGTACCCGTTCAGACTGTCATAACTTCTTCCATTTCCGCGTTTACTCCATCCCATATCATATGAAACAATAATATTAACGACTACTCCTACAGCTGAATCAAATCTTTCATTCTTATTATTATTATCACTCATGTCTTGTTGATTATTATTTTCATCTATATCTGTCATATTTGCCGTCGACATTAGAATCTCGTGATGTGGATAAATTTCTTCTGCTACTTCCTTTGGCCTAATAAGATAAAAGAAGATAAGGAATAATATTATGTAGCAAAACAATTTTTTTTTTTACAATATTTCTTGTATTTATTTATTTTTCAGTTGATTATAGATATTCATATTATATATATATATGGATATATAGAGTAAGTTAATAAATAATTATTGATTAATCACTTGATATTTTTTTTGAAAACACTTTTTTCGATGTATAAAAAAAATTATTTGATAAAATATGTACAATTATAATTCAATTTGATAAAATATGTACAATTATAATTCAATTTGATAAAATATGTACAATTATAATTCAATTTGATAAAATATGTACAATTATAATTCAATTTGATAAAATATGTACAATTATAATTCAATTTGATAAAATATGTACAATTATAATTCAATTTGATAAAATATGTACAATTATAATTCAATTTGATAAAATATGTACAATTATAATTCAATTTGATAAAATATGTACAATTATAATTCAATTTGATAAAATATGTACAATTATAATTCAATTTGATAAAATATGTACAATTATAATTCAATTTGATAAAATATGTACAATTATAATTCAATTTGATAAAATATGTACAATTATAATTCAATTTGATAAAATATGTACAATTATAATTCAATTTGATAAAATATGTACAATTATAATTCAATTTGATAAAATATGTACAATTATAATT